AAACTTCTCGATTCTCTATTTCATATTTTATAAAGAAAAAAGAAAAAAAAAAAGAATGGTGAAAAAGATAAGTTAACGTACCTTGGAGTATAATAATCCATGATATTAAAATTGATATTTTATTAAATAAATTTTCTGCTTTTAAACTTCTTGAAATTATATTTAATTGCAAATGTATATAATCAATGTACGTAACTTTTACTGTGCAATAAGATTCTGAAAAATTTTACCGATTAATCACTTCGTTTTAATTACGAAACTTTACAGTTTCGATCTTAACATACCTCTTAAAGTAATATAATACGTTACGATGCCAAATAGATATTTTATTAAATAACAAGAAAATTGTTTAGAAGATAAAATCAGATAATCCACATAATTCGAAAGATTTATTAACATAAACTCTCGTGCATACGCTCGATCTCTTGATTCTTTGTTGACCTTGATGTTTTCTCAATTTATCTCAATTAATACGACTAATTAGATACATCTACTTAGGCTTAGATAATTCTATGTAAGGCATGGAGTATGTCATCTCGTTATCTGGTATCTAGATTATTCGTATATTTTTATAAATTTCTTGTTCCTTTCACACACGCATACACGCCCCTTTTCCCATTTTCGCTTTCGTATTTCCCGCCATCCGCCCCCCACCCCGTCTGTTCAACGAAACGATCACGCGTTTCTCTTCTTCTAGGTCGCAAGGTTGTCACCCTCTGCCTTTGCAACATTCTCTCTTCGCGCGATAATTTAAAATTCATTATTAAATTTCTAAACTATTCGAACTTTTTTCACTTTTACTTTCAATTACGTTCGATCGAGTTTCAATTTACGTTCGATTATTTCGCTTGACACGAACCGATCAATTAAAATCGTTCTCCTCAGTGATTCATAGTTTCGTTCTACTGTTCCGACAGAGTCGCGTTTCTTTTCTTTTTATTTTCTTTTCATTTCCGTCTTTAATTATCCGACCAATCGTTGATGCGCACGTATCTACGCGTTTAAAACGGCAAAAACGTAACAGAGAACAGATATACTCGGTTCGAGTAACACAGCGAGGTTATAAAATCAGTGCAGCGTGAAAGTACAAACGTCACGATTCTCGAAACGGTAACTGAAGATATATCAGCAAAATAAAGAGCTCCTGGGCCTAACAGTGCCGTACAACGTTCAACTGAATTGGGTTCCTCGATCGCTAGGTGTCGTTGACAATCGTTTGCGAAAGATTAGTTCCTTTGAAACTTCGAAATATTAAACAGAATTTAGTAATAATTTAGTAATAAGTCGGTAGCATGTGATAATTAATAACCACTTTTTCAACGAAAGCGTAAACCTCGAGTTAATAGATTTTTACATTTTACCGTTTAACGTTAAATAACTACAGCTAGAAATTGCTAAAACCGAATGTTAGAGACATCTATGATGTCATTTTATAATTAATATGGGCGGTCGCTAGATACAATAGCGCCAGTAGTGATCCTCGCTATATCGCTCGAACTAACTATATTTCCTTCAATAGCTCAAACACACGATCGGTAACAGTCAGCCATGATTCCCTCATGAATGATCACGAGAAAGACGTGGACAGACGGCTAACATTCGTCTCTGCGACTGCTATCGTCTCTAGAATAAAAGTTCCATGAATTCTCTGCCCTAAGTAAATTAGCTCGTTGATCAATGACTAATTTATCGGTTACCTAATATTCGATGACCAACGATAATCAAAGCTCGTCCGAGATCGGTCGATCAATTACTCGTTGATTATCCATCACTAACGTAACCATCCATCACAAAAGTTTCTGTCTTTCGTTAACTTCTAATTATTATTCTTATTATTTTTCTTCTTATCATTATTATTTTATTTACAAATTATTTCGCCTTATAAAAAATAACTAACCAGAAGTACAACAATTAGAACTCTAACAATAGAAAATAACTGTTTCCTCGCGAGCAACGCTTTGAAAACAAAATCCATATCGAAGCCGATCGAGTCGTTCAATCGGTTAATCAATTTTTAAATCGAAAGTAATCGCGAGAATATTCCTAGAAACGATCTGAAAAAATCTGTTGTTCGAATATCGAGCGATAGACGAATACACGAATTTACGGTGTGAACAATTTTGTTTATCCGGTCGCGTAAAAAACCGTTGTTTAAATTCTTGTGTAAACAGCGTAGAAAATTTTATTGCTCGAAACTGTTTTCGACCGAGAACCAATTTGTGTATGACACAACACGCCAACTCGCGTCGATAAAAGAAAACTATTTCTCATGGTAACCTTCAGTCGTGACACGTAAAAATATTTGAAAACGATCGAAGTTGTAAATCTTTCGCGTTAATTTCGATCACTACCTACTAATTTAGAAAATTTATTGCTAGGTTCATTTTTCTTACATGTAAAATCTCTGTCCAAATTTTTTTTTTTCTTTTTTATCATCGATGGATATATCGTTTCTCTCGCAACACGATCGATCGATATTTCGTTCAACCGCGTGACTCTTGATGATCCGAAAAGTCGAATGTTTTTAATACTTCGGCTAAATGATCGAGCATCGATAAAAACAACAGACTCGTAACGACTAATATATTTTATATAAATGTTTCACGTTTATGAAACGTCTCAAACGTTTAAATAAATTATGAAATTTCGTTCATGTACGACCGGTAATAACGAATCGTTAACAAAAAGAAAAGTTGCATGTATATATATATATACACATATATATATGTACGTATATTACGTTAAAATCACTTATCGTTTCCGATGACAACAAAACATTAATAAATACGTGAAATTCTAATACGTGTACTATATACATTTATATGCTTAATACCGTATCCTAAGAAACAAAATTTTGCTAAAGAAATATCGAACGAAATAAAGGTTAAAATAGACATATTGCTCTAGCATGAAAACGAAATATTTAAATCGTGTAAAATCATTAACCGAGATCGATCCATTTTTCAAACAAATTTCTTTTCGGCTCGAGATTATTGAAACTCGATAAACGTTAAATCAGACAACGAAATATTACCGTGCATCGATATCTTAAAATGCGTGTGTCCATTAGGCCTCGAAATAGTTAATCGACGTTTCGGCATAGGCATTGTTCGATACCAACGATCGATAATTAATTGCACTTCTTCCCCCCGTATCGAATGTTTGTAAGTATATTACGTAAAACAATCAAGTTATAAGCATTAAATTTTTGAAATTTATGAAATATAAAATTTGAAATTTATCAAATATAAAATTTTTAATTTTTGAAATCGCATAGCATAAAATATTTTATTCGATTATTAATAAATCCGAATTTCTAAATTTCTCGTATAATACGTGAAAATTGAAATATCGAATCGATCTCGGATATTACATAAAAGAATACTACGTAAATTTGAATAAATTTCATGGAATATTTTTTTATTTGAACTAATTTTATCGCAAAGCAACGAATAAAGCGGAAAAAGGTAAAGGAATTCGGATTAAAACCGCGAAAGTGATCGATCGATTTTTCCCCGTTGAAATACCATGTTTCATTTGTTTCAACCTTTCATAGGCCTTGTAAAAATTATTTAGCTATTTAATTATACATGTATACATATATACTTTTATCTATATTATATATAGATATATATATATGCATATACACATATATATATATTATCACCAAATCAACAAATAAATATCCTAAATATATTAAATATCGTATAATATATGCTCTCCCAACAAATAATATATAAGTTCTCATCTATTCTCGTTAATAATAATATAATTATATGCGTGCGTATGCATCTGTATATACGTGTTCGTATATACATGTACATACGCACATATGAATTTATTTATTTATTTTTATTTATATTTATATATATATTTTTCATTTCTTTAATTTTTCCGTTCATTTATCTATTTACTTGTTTAATCTTTAGGCATTTTCCTATAAGAAAATTACTACCCTTCTATCCCGGGTAGTTGTCCTTTTGTTTTTTTTTCTTTTTTTTCGTTATTCAGTTTACACAGATGGAGAATCGTAGTAAAATCTGACGAAAAAATAGTAATCAACTTCTCGTTACAATTACCCTTGGTACGTTTATCGATAGACGAGGAAAAAATATAATTTGCTAAAACGTTACACGAATATTCTTCTCACCTCTTAAAAAACATTTTTCACAACGATACGGTTGCAAGTTTAAAAATCAAATCGTCCCGAAAAACGAATTGATAAGAAATCAAACGACAAAAAATTTCGATTTTACGATCGAACGTTTCTTCTAACCTCCTTGATATCGAATGACAAAACATTGAAGTTCGTTTGCTATATCTTCCATCCGCGTTTACATTGTAAAATGTAAATTAATAAAGATATAAAAATAAAGATATAAATATTTGAAAAAAAAACAAATCGTGCATCCCTATATCTACTAAACACATTTTCCACTATTTTAGCAGGTAATTTTTCCTCTTTCTGCTATTAATCTTTAGTCGATTAATACCTATTCAACGTTCTTTTAATATCTCATTGAAAGAAACGTAACCTTCGTTAGTTTTTTCTAGAAAAAAAAAGAAAAAAAAAAAGAAATAGAAAAAAGAAAATGTGAACTAAGAATTAATCAGGCATCAATTCAAACCGTACCTTTATCATCCTAATTAATTCGTTTAATGCCTTCCTAAAGGGTTACTAGCACTACATCCACTTGCGAGTTATAAACAAAATCTGCTTTCGTTAACGACAAACGGTTGCGTTTATCGGTAACGAAATCCCTTCTTTTTTTCCTTTCCAATTCGTCCTACATATATATATATATATAGATATAAGTTTTATCGCTTATTACGATCTCCTTCGTTGTTGAGATCGACTACCTTTCTTTATCCGCCACCGGAGATGATTTTTCTATCAAGTAGGCCGCGTCTGTTTTCTCTTTCAATAATTCTTTCGCTATTACGTTAGATGCGTTCCTTTAAGTTTTCTAGACACTTCTCGTTAATTCGTTTATTTACACTTTGTTAGCCTTCACGCGTCGTGTTTCACTCTCGAGATAAGGAAATCATTTAACCAATAAATTGGAGGTTATGTACGACAAAAGGTAAATATTTCCGGTTATTTTTCAAAACGAATGCATAGACGTTAAAGTTCGCGTCGGTTTAGAAAAGATTTTCACGGTTGAAGGTAATTTCGTTGATTCGAGCGAGTCTTTAATCGACTCGGAGAATTACGGAGTTCGTAAAGTTGCTCGAGAACGTAACGCGAGAACCGTGGGAAGTGTTTTCTCTAGGTATCGCGCATCAGAAGGTATTAAGTTATATTTCTAATCGCCGAACTATCACGTATGCCAGTGTGATTCGACGTTGTAAACCGATTAACGAATTGATGCTATAACGGCTTTAGCGAGCCGAATAGTCTCGGTATTGTTCCAACGAAGAAACAATCTCCGAAATAACTCGACTTGCTATTGATCCCTTGAAACTTTGAAAGCTTCTAACGAGAGTAAACCCTTCGAGTAGCTTGGTCGAGGGGTACGAGATGTAAACCGCGGCTAAATTAAACGACGAGCCAACTTAATCGAAAAGAGTAACTCGAAGGTGCCGAAGCCGGGAGAGGACGAAGCAAGAAGTTTAGTCGCAAGTCGCAAGAGGCCCTCAGTGTCGAGTGAACGCTGCGAAGTTCTTCGATTATGGCCGCACGTTCAACGCACCTCTATCACCTCTCACTTATCCTCGGGATTTGCTCGCGGTGATCTTTCTGTTTCCTGTCTCTCACTGTGAACAAATATCATCAACCCTTCCAGATTTCTTACTTTCCTTACGTTTTCGTACTTCCTTATCTTATTATATCGTTACACAGATACTTATACCATTCAACATTTGTACAGGTTATGTACAAATTATATACGTATACGTATATATTTATAGGTAAGTGCTTTATGTTTTCTGTGGTACATTCGATACGATTATTTTCGAAGGAACTTACGGTCCTTCGTGGTATTCTTTGCTATGGTTATTGCAGTTAAAACCGTTAGATCATGAACTAATTGGTGCACGCGATTCGTTAACGAGGTTAGTAGGTTGTATCGCTGGCAATACGTCGGAACTAATTTTCAGAACCCCTTAGTTACAAGATCCTAACCGTTTTAACTATAATTTCCTCTAAATGGTCGAATGTAATTACTCCCGCATTTAAAGCCATATCGTTTTAAAACGTGTTTAAACATGCACGTACTCGTGCAACGATTGGAAGGTGTTAACACGTAATAGTCTGAGTAACGAATAATCATACTATGTCGACGTTATGAGAGGTTAGAATTTCTGTCAAAAGCAGAAATAATGGGGAAAAAATGCATTTTTAAGAATACGAATTAAAAATATGAATGATTAAATTCTTCTAATTAAAATTGCAATATTTTTAGGTACTTTACTCGATACGTATATTAAAATGCTATGAATTTAACGTTTCAAAAATATAGCATTAAGCAAAATTAGGAAATGCTAATTTTTATTGTTTTCACATTTTTAATTTATTTACAATAATCGACCAATATTACACAAATGGTTACGTTAATTAACTTCTTACATAATCGCGTATAAAAATAGAGGTAAATCTTTTAATTTAAGCGATAAATTTTAAATAAATTTCAAATAAAATCTAAATTTTAATTTAATTTAATCTTCTTTAAATTTTAAATAAAAATTAAAATAGTATTTATGATTAATTTTGAAAAACGCATATGTTATATTGCAAATTATTGAAATTGGACATTTTTTCGAAAATATGCGAGAATAAGTCTAGCATATTTTCTAAATATATTTTAATACTGATTGCAATACTGCACTATGGCAATTAATGTACAAAATAATGAAATAAAAGAAATAAATGCGACAAGAATTTTCTCTGAACATAATTAAACAATGGTAATTAAATACTTTGGTGCTCCAAGTACCATAAACCTTGATTCATTTTCCAAAATAACCTCAAATAATATTGCGTTTCGCTAATGTTTCAATGCTCAATTTTTTTCGAAAAAGTATATCGGTTTATTTTATAAAATAATATATCATGTGTATTTTATAAATGAATGTAACTATTTTATTTTTCTATTATGTTTTAATAAATTGAAATAATAATTCTAAAACTGATTTTTCAACCATAATCACAAAAAAATGTGGTTTAACACTTAAGGAAATTTCTAATCCATAAAATTTTAATTACATTAAATTGAAATTTAATATTTTTGATTGCTATTATTTCGTAAAATATTTATATTCTAAATTTGAAAATATTGGTATTATTGTTGTTCGCACTATATTTAATTGTAATTCATGTTTTGTTTTAAGTATCAAATTTGTATAAAATTTCAATTGAAACTATTCATCGAAATATATTTTTGTTTTTTTTTGCATTCACTGCGTTATATTGCGATAGAATTATAAAATAAAATTATAATTTTCATTTGACTCGCGTTAAAAATTTATAATTCTATTTTTAGAGCACTTTAATTACACCAACGTTGAAATGAAACCTAACGAGGTGTTATTATAACCTTTCGCATTTGACGTACAGTAACGTTAAAAAGTCTTGCACCATCTACAAAATGTTTTGTTTCCATGAATGAATAGAAGAAAATTTCACGGTATTTTTTGAAAATAACTTGATTAACCAAGAATATTAATAATAATTACAACAAAATTTTGAAAATAATTAATATTTTATATAATATTAATTATATATATGATATAGAAGACAATTCTTTCAATAATTCCACTTAATAATAAATATTTTCCATAATATTTTTAATAATTTATATAATTTCATATTTTCTTTCATTTTGATTTCAGTATTTCAAGAAGTTAATTTTCGTTTCTAGTTTCCTCTTGCCTCCACGTTCTGACTTTATGGTTCTATTCATTTTTAAAGAGATTTGCGAACCAGGGAAAACCATATATATATGTGGAGTAGCATAAACAAAATATATGAAGATTCATTTCCGTGTAGTAACACGTAGAAACTTTGCAAATTTTTAAAAATATATTCAATTGGCAACTATCGTATATATCACCAACAAGGAAGACCTTTAGACGGCACTGTATTTAAGGAAAGGAAAACAGCGTAATTAAATTGCATAAAATGTCGCAATTAAATCGACAAGCAAGTACCTACGTACGAAAAGCTTTCAAGGTCATCAAGATAACACGAAGGACAAAAATAATCAAGTATTGGTCGAACATTGCCTCTGAATAACAAAATACCATAATTTCAATTGTACATCTGTGTGTAACATTATTAACACGTCACTAACGTTTTAAATAACATCTTTTGTTTTTAAACGTTATCAGACTACAACTGTATACACCGTGTCCAATGAATACACTCGGAAAAATGCATAAACACGAACAGCATACTTAAACAACATAAAGACAATTTGTAACTGTCAAGCTAGCAAAAGGATAAACCGATGTCCACAACATTATCATCGTTGTTTCATCTTGCTTTGATACGGAAACTTCTTTGTAATTCTGAGAAACGAATAGGATATTACAGTAATACTCCGGACTATGTTGTTTAGTAATGGAAAGGGTTTCTTTATGTCCAGAATCTTTAATTTAAAATTCAAAGTGTCCAAGCAAGACTGGGAAAAAAGCAATTTTATGCAAATGTAAGGTGGCTTTCGCCTGAAAAAGGTGACGCGATTTACATTTCATTTATTCGGACATCAAACGTCGCAAATAATTTAGATATCACTTTTAAATGCAAACACGCACCGTTTCCCTTGTCGCAATTTTTCACTATCGTTTGGATGGATGTAGCGATTAATCAACAAGAATCGCTTAAAAATCTTGACAAAAGATAATGTATACACTCATAAAGGCAATTAGTAAAAATATTCTCCGACAGCGGAACAAATTTTTATTGATTTTTCATGCATTTAATTCTAGCTTTTACGTTTAACCCTTTCGGTACGGAGGAGCTGACCGCGATTATACATTCGTGGTACGAGGAAGTTTTCCACAAGAGTGGTTGCACTGGAAGCCGAGAAATCGTGTTTTGAGGTATTCATAGAAATTTCGAGCGTGATTGACACTAAACTTTTTATTCGGATCGCGACAGTCATCGGTGACATTTCGCGGATGGTGTCAATAGGCGACGGTAATACCCGGAGAACGTTTCGTAGATGCCGCCAATAGGCGACGGTAGTACCCGAAGAACGTTTCATGGCCGCCGCCATTGGGCGGTAGTAGTACCGAAAGGGTTAATACGTTAAGTGCCTAATCCGTTTCGCTTGTCGTTCCGTTCAGGCCCAAACTCAACCGTCAAGTGGGCCACCAGCGACGGGCGAAGTGTTCGTAAATCTCGGAGATACTGTACCAATTGTTATAACAGGAATTCCCAAACGTTAGATCCAAAGATGGCGAAGAATTTAACACCAAAAGCTAGCACCTTGTGGTCCTAGTCCTGAACGGAAAGTCTAGCGCCGGTCCCCGGGGACCGACGTGGCACTTAACGTGTCAAAGGGTGTATTGCTACCGAATCCTAAGGAAAAGGCAAACAGAGAAATAGCAAGCTCTCGGATCTGCTACTGGGGAAACTAAGAGTCTCGGTTTTCAGACGAAAGATAGCACAAAATGGGAGAAAATAAATCGGAAACTTATATGGACTCACCAAATGTATCTAATAGACTTCATCTTGAGTGCCGTCGAATTCTCCTTGCACTTGTAAGCCAACACTTGCTTCACGCTGCTCACGTCGACTGTGGGAAACCTCGATGTCACGTAGGCTTTAAAATTTCAATGAAAAATGTAGTTTCTGTAGAGATGCAGAAAATTACATACCGTGACTCTACCGATGACCACTGCTTTTAACCTATCTTTTTTAAATCTGTCTTTCCATTCGATTTACACTGTGCTTTCCTAGTGTACATTGAATTCTGATTCTGAGAGTATTTAATGTCTACTACATCGAAAAATGAAATCGCAGATTTTTGTAACAACTTCATATTGTTATAACCAAAAATATTTGAATATTATTATAATTAAATTTCGAAATAAATTTCGAAAATGTTACATGATAATGTTTTCTTAATATAAATATTCAGATTGTTATTAAATAATTAGAGAAATTATTGCTAAATGTTTAACAAGTAATGAGGAAATTTTATGCAGAAAAGAATATTCGAAACTTGAACAGATTAAATTTCTATGCATGTATATGTAGCAGCATTTTGTCGATAAATTTTGTCTAACAGCTTCCCCACAATCGCATAAGAGATTAGCAGAAATAATATTTCTTTTTCAGCACAAAATCGGTCAAATGATTAGTCATGGTAGATGAAGTAGGTTATGTCTGAATCTCAGAAGACACGGAATAAGAAGATATACAGGGTGTCTCGTGTAAGTCGATCTAGTTGAATATCTTTGAGGCTATTGATGGTAGTAAATGATGTTTTACACCAAAATTTTATTTCATGTCAGATTTTGTTTTAGATGGATGCATGGTAGAGAACATATGGTCAACTTCATTTTTGCAGGTAGAATCGTATATTTTTTGACGTACTAATCAATGTAACTCGTGATTTCTTACATAAAATCACTAAGTCATTTATTGTGAAAAATCATGGGTTTAGGAGATATTTTAAAGTTAATATTGGTTAGTGATATTAGTAACATTTTAAACTCAATGTCCAAAGCTATCTCCTTCAACTTAAATACGTATACTATTACTCGATATCAAAATTAAAATATTTTTCTTTAAAAGTAACAATTTTTTATCACAGATAGTTCACTATTTTCATATAAAGTATAACGAGCTAGTATAAATTCGCTAGTACAATTAGCTCATTAAGAAACACACTTGATATTCAAAGCTATTTCCTTCTTTCTTTGAAAAAGTAATCATTAAAAAATATCTTTCTTCGAAAATAATAATTTTCTACCATAAGTAGTTTAGTATTTTCACATAGAGTATAAGGAGCAACAACTATATGAAAAAACATGATTGCGTTTAAAAGAATGAAGTTGACCTTCATATGACCTCTATACCTAGGAAAAACTTACTAACATCAAATTCCGTCGCCGTGACGTCTGATGTTTGAATCATTTTTCAGTATCATCAATAGTTTCGAAGATATTCGACTGGATCAACTTAAATCGGACACTCAATAGGAAAAATTATTTACAGTCATAGTTATAAGTTATAACAGTTATTTAATTATAGTTATAATATAATTATTTAGTTATTTAGTTAGTTATATTTTAGTTATAGTTATTTAATTATAGTTATAACTATAGTATCAAGTCAGAGAATCTTTAATCAAAAATTAAAAATCTTTCGTTTGTAACGGTGTAGTTTAAAGATTAATTAGTTTTTAAGTAATACACGTTTATTCTTGCAATAAACGTTATTTTAATCTTATTCTCACGAATATTCTTAAAATATTGTAATTTAATCGATCGCATAAATTTTCAATCGAAATTTAAATCCGACGATTCAGAAGCAGAATGCATTACTTCTGGAAATTTGTATAACGAATACTACCGTATTATTTGGAATTCCTGGTTTGGATTATTGTCCTCGTAAAACTTAAAACTGTCACGTATATTCACATCGATGACATTTTTGATTAATTTTCATGGCAGTATATGTAAATATTTATTTTTGCTTGCACGGTTAAAACTTCATCTACACCTGCGATCGAAATGCATTAGACTTCCATTTCTATGTTTTATTAATAGTTTTAAGTCTTTTATTTCAAATTCTTCGTTTGTTTCACGTTATATTCTTTCATCGAAATGGACGAAATTGTTCGCGAACTCATCGTCAGATGTATTACGCTGCTCAACCACGTTTGACCTTTACGAACAAAATTCTTCAGCTTACATTTATTCTAATACGTTATTCCATGACGTATTCGACGCTCATACATACATATATTCATGACTTTTTGATGCTCGACATACCGTCTTTAGATACATTTTTCTCCTGGATTCTTGAATTAATAATTATGCTTATTTGAATTAATATAAATTTATTCGAAAATTATGTTCTGTACCTTTCTGTCGACAATCTATGTAAATGTAATCTATGGATATGGTTTATTTTTATTTTCAGTTTCCTATTTTCTTGCATAATTATGATTTTTATGTGTGTGATATTCAAAGCTATTTCCTTCTTTCTTTGAAAAAGTAATCATTAAAAAATATCTTTCTTCGAAAATAATAATTTTCTACCATAAGTAGTTTAGTATTTTCACATAGAGTATAAGGAGCAACAACTATATGAAAAAACATGATTGCGTTTAAAAGAATGAAGTTGACCTTCATATGACCTCTATACCTAGGAAAAACTTACTAACATCAAATTCCGTCGCCGTGACGTCTGATGTTTGAATCATTTTTCAGTATCATCAATAGTTTCGAAGATATTCGACTGGATCAACTTAAATCGGACACTCAATAGGAAAAATTATTTACAGTCATAGTTATAAGTTATAACAGTTATTTAATTATAGTTATAATATAATTATTTAGTTATTTAGTTAATTATATTTTAGTTATAGTTATTTAATTATAGTTATAACTATAGTATCAAATCAGAGAATCTTTAATCAAAAATTAAAAATCTTTCGTTTGTAACGTTGTAGTTTAAAGATTAATTAGTTTTTAAGTAATACACGTTTATTCTTGCAATAAACGTTATTTTAATCTTATTCTCACGAATATTCTTAAAATATTGTAATTTAATCGATCGCATAAATTTTCAATCGAAATTTAAATCCGACGATTCAGAAGCAGAATGCATTACTTCTGGAAATTTGTATAACGAATACTACCGTATTATTTGGAATTCCTGGTTTGGATTATTGTCCTCGTAAAACTTAAAACTGTCACGTATATTCACATCGATGACATTTTTGATTAATTTTCATGGCAGTATATGTAAATATTTATTTTTGCTTGCACGGTTAAAACTTCATCTACACCTGCGATCGAAACGCATTAGACTTCCATTTCTATGTTTTATTAATAGTTTTAAGTCTTTTATTTCAAATTCTTCGTTTGTTTCACGTTATATTCTTTCATCGAAATGGACGAAATTGTTCGCGAACTCATCGTCAGATGTATTACGCTGCTCAACCACGTTTGACCTTTACGAACAAAATTCTTCAGCTTACATTTATTCTAATACGTTATTCCATGACGTATTCGACGCTCATACATACATATATTCATGACTTTTTGATGCTCGACATACCGTCTTTAGATACATTTTTCTCCTGGATTCTTGAATTAATAATTATGCTTATTTGAATTAATATAAATTTATTCGAAAATTATGTTCTGTACCTTTCTGTCGACAATCTATGTAAATGTAATCTATGGATATGGTTTATTTTTATTTTCAGTTTCCTATTTTCTTGCATAATTATGATTTTTATGTGTGACACTCTGACTCTTTTATATATTTTAATTTAATTATTATTACATTAAAATTTATTATATTATTTAATTATTTATTTTAAATAAAATTGTTTAATTTTGGAAGCAATACATTTTATTGCTAGAATTTAAACAGCATTTTCTTTCATAACCTAACAAATATGTGTATTGTAATTGTTTAATACTTGTTCTAGTTTCAGAAACAGTTTTCCACAATCTCGTATATTTAAAAAATGTTGTTCATTAAATTATTCTTTTTGTTCTTTCAATTAGTTTGTTTTCCACGACTGAAACTCAATATGATGGTAGAGAAAGTAATCTTGGTTATATTTGGTGTCCAAAAATTCACGTAAGAAGTAATTTTGATAGAAAACACAAGTTTTTAATTAAAAATTGTAAATATTGCTTAATAATGAAGATGTATTGTTCTTTCATATAGTGCTCTATTTTTAATAACCTTGAATTATCAGCTGTCTTTTTTTTCGTTGTCAATACTTTGAATTTTACGGCAAAATTCAAATCTTACGTGAATTTTGGGACACCCGATATTTTACAATTTCACGAATTTTCTGATTTACTTGCTTTCTTCTCGTTCGTAAATCGACAAATCGATACATGTCAATTTTATAGTTTACAACGATTTACCATAGCAGAAAAATAACAATTTATACTGCGTGATTGAATATTTTTACAACTTGATTACTTAGTATATCGATAATAACGTAAAAGATGTTATTAATTATTATAAATTATTAATATTATTATAAATTATCAAGTTCTAATTAAGTACATATTATAAACGAATATAAGTAGTATTCTCTTGATCACCATATATGTTTCTTAAGTTTTGTGATATTAAATATATGATCGTTGTATATTAATTTACAAAATATAATTAACTAAAAATGAAAAATTTTAATATATCTTGACTAGATTTTTTCGTTTGAAAGTTGGTATTGGAATATAAATGTTGGTATAAATGACCACCTGAAACTCTTTCCAAACATGGCAGTTGATGATCGACTAACCTCCAATTGACGTAACCTCTTAATAAAAAGATTTGTGACTTTAACGGATAACATTATACTAAATGTAAGATTTTTCGTATAATATCTTTCTAGAACGAAAATAACGTAATGAAATAAATTCCTAATATTGAAAATAAATACCGATTAACTAAATACAGCCTTAAATTTGATAAAAATGAATCACGATATACGAAATTGAAAGTTTACTTTTATCATCACGTTACTCGAATACTTTTTCATTAATAATTTTTTATTTTTATCTTTTTCAGAGAAACATTTTGCGGAAAAATTTTTGGAATTATTCACGAAGAAAT